CGTTGGACTGACCATATCTCTCTTCAAGCTCTGTCCAGATCTCACACACTGAATTGGCATATAGAACACTGTCTGCAATTTCCTTAGTCAGCGCATTCAGGATCCAAGAAGTTATCATGTCATTGCAGCGTTGCCAAGCGCTGAGTTGTGGTGGATCTCCAATCGGTTTCACAATATTTCCTTTCACGAATTCCAGTTTATTTTTTGCAGATAAAGCAATTGACATGGACTTCTTCCACGAACCAAATCCTTCTCCATCAAACTGTTTGGATATCAGATTCATCCCAGGATTATCAGAAGGATGAAGATATAAAGGATTCGTAGGTCCGATTGTAGAATTAGCAGGAACTCCAGAATTTGCCATTGCTAATATTAGCGATGAAGATCGATCAGTAGAAACAAGATGAAAAGAAACGAAGAACAGCAAAGAAGCTTCAGATCAGAAATCTATTGCTCTGATACCATGTTGATTTTCATGAGTCTGGCGAAGATTTCAGAGAAATCTTCGTGATGAAAGGAAGAAGAACGCTGAAGGTTGCAGCGTAAAAATAGGAACTGATCCAACGAGAATGAGAGAGAAAAATATCTGGCAGGATTTTTTCGAAATCAACTAAAATACAATACAAGCAAGTATTTATACTCAAGGACTCTAAGCCACATCATCTACTTGTCCAACTCAGCAAATAAGAGAAAACAAATAAAATGAGTTTATCTACTAACATCCATCTTTGAATTAGCTTTTCACTCTCACTTTTCATTCGTCCCAAGCTTAGCTTCCCATGTTATGTTACACTATGTTTGGTTCAAAGAATTTGGAAGGAAAAGAAAAGAAAATGGTTTTCTTTCATTTTCCTCACCAAAATGGAAATGGAAGGAATTTTGTTTTTCCTCCTTTTAGTACATTTTGCCTTTCTTTGCCTTCCACTTTTCTTTTTTTTCTTCTCTAACCAAACATGAAAAATTGTTTTTCATCTCATTTTCTTTTCTTTTCTACTTTCAAATTCCTTGAACCAAACATAGTGTTAAGGAAAAAAGTTCTTGAATTGCATACCCTAATATATCAATCTTGTAATGGACCGTAAAAATAACAAATATATCAACTCATTTCCGTTTCATGATATTTTCCATGCATGTTGAAATAACTTTGATGATGAAGGTTTTAGAATTTTCATCTCATTATTCCTTCTCATGAAGGTTGCACTAAGAAAAGGAATTTCACTTAAAACATGGCCTCTTGGTTATTAATGATTAAACAATTTTATTATTTGGATTAATAAAAGTTTGAAATTTTGGGTTCTGATCACCCAACAAAACACAATCCATCTCCACCTGATTTAAATGTTTAGGCTTCATTTGGTTGGAGAGTAAGTTTGAAGGTTAAGAGTAAACAAGAGTAAGATTCAGGATAAGTAAACAAGACTTAGTGAAGAAACCTTGTTTGGAAGTGTATGCCTTACTCTCCCTCACACTCCATTTTGGAGTGGTAAAAAAATGGAGAGTAAATGGGTGTAGGGAAGAGTATGTGTTACTCCTCACCCTTACATTCTAAAACAATCTCTCAAACAAGGGTAGAGAGGAGTACTTACCCTCCCTTACTCATCCTAACAGTCAATCCAAATAGAGACTTGAGTTGGTTATGGCTCATGAAAATTAGTACCGATTTGTTTTGGGTTTCAAATAAGTACTTGTTGCAAACATCATTTGTTTTTATTTCACTCACATCACATTGTCATTAGCCAATATCACTAATAATGTCTTGTGAATCTTATATCAGTTTGTAAGGTTGTTACTCAATGAGGAAACAGTTGGAGGTTCTTCAGAAGTAGAGGGAAACGAACTTGATTTGGCTAAATCCATTGATGCTATGGTATCAAAATTGAAGGAATCGCTTAATTCTGATTCAGATTCCGCCATGCAGAAGTGGTGTGCTTATGAGGAAGAATATAGGGAAAGGTTTTCAACCACTGAAAATCTGGATGAAGGTTATGATCCATCGCTCACCGGACATGCACATATGGAGCCTATGGCAGGATCCAGAGAAAACCCATTGGAAAATATTAAATTGCTTTCATATCATAGGAAATTGTCAGTTCTCTATGTACTTCTTTCAGCTTGTCTGGCAAATACACCAGAAGACGATAGCGAACGTTCTACTTGTCAAGTAAAGGGGTATGATGCTAGATATCGTGTGGCTTTGCGGTTGATTGCGACATGGTTTGGTCTTGAATGGATTAAAATGGTATGCTCCATGTGACATTAAGAGCAATTTCGGTAAGAACTAGAATGACTAATATGACTGAAAATCACTTAATTTGTTGAAATTGTGGTTGAATTGGCTGAATCGGCTAAACTATCTGAATTTTCTATATAAAAACTACTCCCTCCATTCCATAAAGAATTTCACACTTTCGTTACGTGGATGCCCAAAAGAAACTTCACTTCTTCCCTTCCCTTAATCCTTTCCTTTTAAGGGGATATGTGGCTCACAATACTTGTCTCTCTTCTAAACAAATTGAACTACACACTTTTCACTTTCAACACTTTAAAAGTCCATACTTTTCTTACTCTCTCTTAAGTCCACCCTTTTCTTAAACTTCTTAGGTCAAAGAATGAAGTTCGTTACAGGACACGGGGAGTATTTCATAATTTTTACTACTTATGTGAGAGGAAGGTTTATTGGGTAGAATTTTAGGCTACGAGTGGGGTCTAAATTGGTGAACCAAAGAGAATAACCTTCTTATTTCAAACCAAATGTGTATCTAAATTTTGTTGGGTTTAAATTGCATAGTTGAGCGCCCATATTTTAGACTAATATGAAGAGTATTTTTCTTCGCTTTGGATCCAAATTACGTTGTTAAGAACCAAAGCCAATTTTGAATGAGAAAAATACCAAAGTAGGAGCAATATTAAACTTAAAACTGAAATGAGAGTGCAACACTTTCTTTTCTTTGCATTAGAGTACAATCTAAAAATATAAAGACATCTATTAGGGCTAACATACTCCTGTTTAGATAAAAACCTAAAACACTCCTATTCAGGTTAAGTTTCACTCTTTTATTCATCTAGGGGGTTTTCTTATCATAGATTGGGTCTCAATTCAGTGAACATTTTGAGAATTGGGACCCAATTTACGGAATTAGATAATGATTATGCCATGAAATTAGGGCACACTTTGATGGGAAATGAATTAGCGAAGTAAAAACTTTGTGATTGAGGAAAGAGAAATAGTATAGATCACATATTGTTTTCCTTGAAAGGACATGAGACATAATTTTGGGACGGATGGAAAAAGAAAGTGAGAACATAATTTTGGGATGGAGTGAGTATGAGAATTTTATTGGGTTCAATTTGCATAGTGCCATAGTTGATGACCAAACTGGGTATTGACTCTCTCAGGAAGCCATTGAGACCATGGTTGCATGTTCAGCAATGGCTTTACTGAAGGCAGAAGAATCAGATGGAGGGACTATATCTTCCGAAGATTCATGGAGTAAGTGGAAAAGAGGAGGCATTATAGGTGCTGCTGCACTGACTGGAGGAACCATAATGGCAGTTACTGGCGGTATGTCATTCTTTTGTCTTTTGTCTTTGCTACCCTATGTCTCTATTCCTTCTCAGTTAATTCTTTCTCCTTTTCTTTCTCAAACAAAAGGTTAGATATGATCTATGGATCTGATTAAGGTAGTATTTGGGAACTAACATTTCATTTCAATTCTTGCATTTCAATTCCAAAATTTGAATTCTTGAATTTCAAATGACAAGGGGAGGTATATGGATTTCAAATTGAGCTTTTCTATGAATTAGAGGAATTTGTCTCAAATCCAATTCCAAATTTTCAAGGTTCCCAAACATGGAATTTGAGCCAAATCTATATTTGAAATCCAAATCTAAATTCCAAAACATACCATAAGCGAGTTATGGGGAATAAGTACGATGTGATCTGTAAGTTTTGAAACCCGCAATTCGTGAAGTTTCTTTTCCAATCCACTATAATTCGCAAACGCAAGCAGGATTAGTTGATTTACATATGTGATCCATGTGATTTTCTAAATTAATTTATTAATCCATCCTAGAGTATTTCACTAAAAAAACTATTGTCATCCAACTTTGCTAAAGCACCTCCAATCAATAATTCGGCATTATCAAGTGTACATGCCCTTACAGGTTTAGCTGCTCCAGCAATTGCTGCAGGAATGAGTGCTTTAGCACCAACTCTGGGAACGATTGTCCCAGTGATTGGAGCAAGTGGGTTTGCTGCTGTTGCCAGTGCAGCCGGAACTGTGGCTGGCTCCGTGGCAGTTGCTGCGTCATTTGGAGGTGAACTTGTCTTGCATAGATTTTCCTTAAAGTTAATTTAGAGGGAGCTTGGTTCTTAGAGCATAAGATAAGATTGCATTGCCTAAAATGATTACCTCCTGGAAGGTAATGAGGGATTACCTCAAGCTGTTTGGTTCACGGAATGTGAGTACTTATTCCGTGGGACAAATCAGATTAGTCTAAAGTTTACTTTACGGTACCTAAGAAACTCAGTGGGAATGTTTGGTTCAGGTCATCTCATACTCCGTATAACTCAACATGTGGTCTTGATAATGTTTGGTTGAAGTTATGTGATAGGATAACTTCACTAATTTCACATTGCTGCCACATATGATTTTAGCTTATATTCAAGTTTGTGTGATAACCTTTTATCCCCTATAGTAGTGTAGGGTAACCTTGGTTTTTCAATCCATTTCCATATTTATGTTCAGTATGAATTTAATTTTTTAATAATTTCTAGAAGTATTTATAAAATAAAATAGAAATAAATCATTTTGAAAAACTAAATAAATGACTTAATCTACTTCATTTGTGTGCGTGTCCTCTAAAACATAACCTTCAGCTAAGCACAGTATTACATTTCCACAACCTTACCAAACACAAGATATAATCTTACATTCCTGTGTTCTTACATTATCTTCCAGGTGGTTATCCTATGAATGAAGGCTATCTAAGACAATACAACCCCACCCCCACCCCTACCCCAACACCACCTCATTTTTTTAAATGAAAATTAACCAAGATAATATCAGTGGTTTGTATAAACTATGATGAAACAAGATAATTTCACATTACCAGTTGAGTTAAGTGCATATGAAGCGATCATAACTTCACAAGGACATTAACAATGGAGAATCTGCATCTTCTACTGATCCTTTGACTTTCATTTGACCTGAGCAGCTGCTGGAGCTGGACTTACAGGGACTAAAATGGCTAGGAGAATTGGAGATGTTGATGAATTTGAGTTTAAAGAAATAGGAGAAAGCCAGAATCAAGGCGTATGCTCTTCAGCTCCCTTTATGTGTGTGTGTGTGTGTGTATACATACATACATACATACATGCATGCATACATACATATATATATATATATATATATATGTATGTATGTATGTATGTATGTATGTATGTATGTATATAGGAAGTTTAAGAATGATATATATTGCACACAATGAAGGAGTGCCATGTAGGATTAAGTATATCTATTCTCTACACATTCCTTTCCCGATTATAAATTGCTTGCTTCCCTTATAGTTTTTCACTTGACTTGCTAATTATGTCTAATGTTCTTTAATCACATGACTTCCTCCAATCAGCGGTTGGCAGTTGAGATATTAATTAGTGGATTTGTGTTTGAGGAGCAAGATTTTATCAGACCTTGGGAAGGACCACATGGAAACTTAGAAAGGTAGAAATTCCATTTACCAAATAATATATGTATCATTTCAATTTGCTTCGAGCATTCTGCAGCACAAGGGTTCTGCTCCCCAAACTATCTCCAGATTTACTGATTTAGGATAAATCACTTCTACTTACCAGGAGGTTTGGTCAAATTACGAAATGACCTTTGAGGTTTCTAAAATTACAAATGCGCCCCTTGACCAGTCAGATTTTTTGCATCCAGCCCTTAAATACTACAGTAAAAGATTATAGAATGTAATGATATTAGCAAGAACTGTATGTCGTCGACTCTTCGTACTGAACTTGGTATTTTAATGTTTTTTTGCAGCTAAATTATTTAATGCTTTCTCTTGGAATACTGTCTGGGCGATGTTTAATTCCTACTAATATCATTTTATGTCACATCATCTCTCAGTGTCGTTTGTAGAAGATCTGATTGGCCAAAGGACTTGTAATGTCAACAACTTTGAGGGTCATTTCGTACTTTGATCAAACTTCTGGGGTAATAGATGTAATTAGCCCCCAGATTTATCGCTAAAATATTCTTAGTGAAAAAAGAAATGAAAGTTGCTTTCTCATTTTACTATGACCCTTAATTGGAATACTTCAGATATGCACTGCAGTGGGAATCTGACAAACTAATAACTGTGAGCACTGCAATTCAGGATTGGCTTACTTCAAGTAAACAATCTTATGCTTAATTAATTGCTAGACAATGCAATTATTCATTTCTGATGGGGCTGAAATGATGTGTGGATGATTTACTGAATTGCAGAAATTGCACTACAATTGATGAAGCAAGGTGCAATGATGACAGTGTTAAGCTCTCTCCTATCAGCATTAGCTTGGCCAGCAACGTTATTTTCCATGACTGAACTTATTGACAGCAAATGGGCTATTGCTGTTAACAGGTAGCCTGTGTGTGTGTGTGTGTGTTTTAATTCACTTATCCAATTATCCCACAATTTCCCTGGCGAGTTTTGAGTGCTTTTGTTTTTATTCTAGCTTGAGAGTTGAAACTAATTGACATGATTAGTTTGTTTTTCATTGTTCACACATCATTTCCATTGTCAGTTAGTAAATACATGTACAGAGTAGTATTTATTACTTTTCCCCCTTGTTATATGCTTAAGAGATGTAAGATGAAGAACATTGGGAAACATGAAAAGAGCGGCATTAAATGCGTAGACAAAAATGGTTCATAGCAGTTTAACATGATGAGCTGATAACAAACAACAGATCAGTGTTTTCTGCAAGTGCAGTCTGGGGAGGGTAAGAGTAAATTTGGTAAGATTATATAAGTTGCGATTGAGATATAATGGACAGAGGCCTGGAGGTTATATTAGTACATAAACACATATTTCATGCACCATTTCTTTTTACACAATTTCTACATAAAAAAATACTCTTCTTATATCAATTGTCTCGTAAATTTGTTAGATCTGGCAAGGCTGGAGAACTGATGGCGGAAGTACTACAGAAAGGATATCAAGGGCAAAGGTGTGGATTCTCGACCTTAATTCAATCACTGGGAAAATATAATTCCCTAAAGGGTCCACTTGAAACTTGAAAAATTATAGGGAAAGAAAAAAATAGAAAAAATAGAGGTGGAATTTGGATGGAAAGAAAATGCGTGGAAAATAAAAAAATTGCTTTGTACTCAATAAATTAATTTTATAGATTTGTTAAAACTTCAAATTTGTTTTGTTTGGACATTTCTATCATATAAAGGCTAATAAATCTAAATATATCTAAGATTTTAAAAGATTGAATTCTGAACAAAGCCTAAAAAGACTGAATTAGGAGATTATCAATTTGCATTGTTAATTGAGCATGAATGGTTCAGGCCAGTGACACTTGTAGGGTTTTCTCTTGGGGCTAGAGTTATTTTCAGATGCCTCCAGTGTTTGGCTGCAGACAAGAGATATGGTGAGTATCACAAATTCACAAAAAGAAGCTTTTGTAATTACTTGTGTAGTTGTATTACACATTAGACCTAATACCTGATTTAGTCATAGACTATTGTTCTATACATTATTACTCTTTTTTTTTCTGCAACTTTCCTTTGGACTCCATTTTGTCAATGGCTATGCAATTTGCACTCAATTTGATCCTCCTGCTTATTTTGTGACTCCCAGCGGAAGGAGTAATTAACATTGTAATTTCGTACGTGACTAAATGGACTTCAAAACTTCAAATTACAACGTTGAGACTTGAGAGTCAAATCAAGTCTGAAAATGAATCTAAATTTTGTGAATGGACAAAAATGGACTTCTTATTTAGAGCCATATATGCATGAAGGCTAGATTGGGTTTGAATTCAATAGTCGAGGAGAATTTAATTGAATGGATAACTCAGGTATTAAAACTCATATATTTATGTTTTAACTGTTTTGAAATTTGGCAGCAGGGCTTGTGGAGCGAGTTGTTCTTCTCGGTGCACCAATTGAAATTTCTACTGTGAATTGGGAAGCAGCCAGAAAGGTTTAGTTCCCTATTTGGTTTAGACTAATTGATATATGGTTTGTCAATGTTCATTAACCTAGACCGGACCGGCCGATGGACTGGCCACCAATTACAAACCTAACCGGACTACTTTTGTTAATATATTAGTATTGTCTTCCTATTATTAATATATCATTATCGTCTTAATGAGGAAGGCTAAATTTACACCCATTTTTCATCTTCCACTTAGATGATTTTCACTCAAAACCGACCGAAGGATTGAATGTTAGTACTACCTAAACTACCCTTGTAAAATTTCACAACAATTCAACATCGTTTCATGATTCATTTAATAAACCAAAAGCAATGTAATATAATGGTCTACAATGTGTGAAAATATAAGTTATACTTCGTACAATTCACAACAAAAGTGATGCATGTGTTAATAACTTCTAATTGTATGGTCGAGTTTGAATGAAAACAATTCGAGTGGAAAATATGGCACCTCTAAGAAAGGGTTTTAAAAAGCGGTGCAAGATTACCCTTTAAATCTCTCTTACTGCATCAATAATCGGTTTTTAATATTCCTCCTTGACACTCCTCATAATGAATGAGCCACTATGTTTTCTCAGGTGGTGGCTGGGAGGTTTGTGAATGCATATTCTACAAATGATTGGATGCTCGGAATCGTGTATCGTGCCAGGTAAGCATCCAACCCATCTGAAAAAAATAAATGTCGTGTGGAAAACTGAGGAACAAGCCCATTCCCTTTTTTATACAAATATTTTTTTGGTTTCAATTCCTATGCAGCCTCATGAGTCAAGGACTAGCTGGAATTCAACCTGTGGAAGTTGATGGCATTGAGAATGTGAGTGTCATCAATCTTTTGTTAATGCATAATCTTTGATTCCTTTCATTGCTCTAAGCTATATGTTCTGTGTTCATGTTTCTACACTGGATGGGAAACGATGAAATGACGGATTCAACTCAAAAACCCATGTGATGATGTTATGTTTGGAGTGCGAATATCTGCATAACTCTGCATTAACATGAAATTGTCTGTTTTGGGCCAAGCTCTCACATGGGTTTTGTTATGAGCATGAGACGTCACAACGTCTTTGCATCTAAGTGAAAGCATTCCCGAAGGATCAATTCGGAGGATAAAAGCAAAATTGATCAACAAGGCCACAAATGAGAATAAAAATTACAAGATAGACCTAAGGCACATACAAGAGATAACCAGTGCGGGAGTTTCGGAGGATGAAAGTGCTTTTCACCACACACATGTATATATTAGGTTTTAGGGTCAAGTCCTATAATAGCCCGACGTGAACACTGAAAAAGTGATGCATAAGCTTCCTTTTAGTGATGCAACTAATGTTGTAACATAAGTTGGTGTTTGGTACAACAACAAACTCAGTAAAATCCCACAACAGTAACCTTACTCGGAAGTCAAAAGTAGAGATGTTGTTTCCAAGTGGTCTCTGACTCAAAATAAGACCGTGTGAGAGCACCGAGAAGCTAGTGTTTGGTAACCAAAGATTTTAAAAAAAGATGGTGTTACTGAACATGCTTTTACCCATTTTGTATCTCGCACTACTGTCTTTCGCGTTTACCCCATTTTGTATCTCGCACTACTAACACTATTGATTTCAACAGGTTGATGTAACGGAATTGATTGAGGGGCACTCTGCTTACCTATGGGCTACCCAAAGGATCCTAGACTTGCTCGACCTTGATGCGTATAATCCTGTTTTTGGTCGTGCCGCCGATCAGAAGTACTAGTTGTTTTCAGCTCAACTTGTCTCCACACTTACTATGCATTAGCTTGTTTGTTTTGGTAACATAACTATGCTACCATTGCACCCAGAGTTTTGGACGGTCTAGAACATTGGTCTATTTGTACAAAGGTTGTTTTGGTTAACAAACATAACATAAAATGCATCTTTAGTAAGCAAAATAAAGAACAATCTCTAATGGTAATCAAGTCATGATCATGGCGTTTTTTCGTTACACCTGCTACTCTCCTAGTGGCTACAACTTACAACAACACTCCATGATCATGACTTGATTACCAAGTACTCTCACACCCTACACTGTGATCCAATTCAGTTGTGTTGTTTTTTCTTTTTATTTATTTTTTTGATAAAAGATGTATTCTGTTTTAATTTAAATTATATGTTGTTTACAAAGTTTCTCTGAAATTATTTTCAATTCTATTTATTTAAAAATTGGTGTGGAATTAAAAAATAAATTTATATATTTAAAAAATATATCAAAACTTCTAACAGAGTAATCAAGTTTATTTTAATTTTAATTTTATCCCTCAACTAATTAATTACGTAGTACTAAACAATTAAGACATTAGAAGAAGGGTTTGCAAGGAGGAAGAGGAGACCCACACAAGCCAGGGTTCCCCAAAAAAGCCTCCTTGGGTATATTTGCTTTGTGTGCAGGGATTTCCCCACTCAACCTGTTCCCAGAAACATCAAACTCCTTTAGAGACTCAAGATTCATCACCTCCCCTGGGATCTCCCCACTGAGCTGGTTTCCCGACAGGTCGGTCGAAATGAGGCTCCGAAGATCTCCGAACGCCTCCGGGATCTCTCCGGCGAAGCCGTTGCCGGAGAGGTTTAGGGTGAAGAGGTTTGGGAGATGGCCAATGGTCTCAGGGATGTTCCCTGTCAGGTTGTTGTCCCCAAGACTCAGCCCTTGGATCTCTGTGAGGTTCCCAATGGACGGTGGGATCGTCCCGGTGAACGCATTGTCATGTAACCGGAGGTTCAGCAACGATCTCAGCCCCCGGATTGGTTCTCCGGGAATGGGTCCGCCCAGTCCGTTCCCGTTCAGCTGCAACAACAAAAGTTTGGAAAGATTCCCCACGGAAGCCGGGATTCTTCCCGTGAGCCGGTTACCCGATAAGTCGAGGTATATGAGGTTTTTGAGTCGCCCGATGGACTCCGGGATTCCGCCAGAGAACTGGTTCCCGCTGAGGTCGAGCTTCGTCAGGGCGGCCAGTTCCCCGACGGAGTCCGGGATGGGGCCCGAGAGGTTCTTGAGGCAGCGGAGGTCGAGAACTTGGAGGGCGGTGAAGTTGGCGATGGAAGGGGTGAGGGTCCCGGAGAGGGTCGTGTTGAGGACCCCCAGTTTACTGTGGCCAACAGGCCGGGTCGTGACAGTGCCACGACGCGGCTTGTTAGGTCGCAGGACAGGCCCTCCCATGAACAGCAGTCCATGCGGGGGTCCCATGATTGGAGTAGACGGGGAGGATCAGCTGCTGTGATGCTGCCCAGGAAATCCATTAGGGCTTTTCCATCGCTGGGATTGCATAGTGTTTCTTGTGGATCCAAAGAAAGGGAGATGTTGAAGAAGAAGAAGTAGAAGATGATGAAGAAGACTGCCTTCTGGCAGTGATTTTCCATTTTGGATCTCTAGAATTAACTTTGGGAATTGAAAAAAGCTTGTGTGTTAGTTAAATATATACTAGTATTTAACCCGTACGGGGTCAAACACATGTTATTTTAAACTTTGTTAAATTTTAATTTTAAGTAAATAATTAAAAAATGAAGCTAAATATAATATACAATGTTAGAATTTTAATGAATGATGCGACATAAACAGAGAATGATAAGTAAAATCATGTATATAAAAATGGAAAAGAACGTATAAATGTATTAATTAAATCCAAAATTTTTGGAAAACTTCAGAGTAAATAACATTTTTGGTACAATTGCAAGGGTTACCGACTTACTGTTATCATCTAAAACTAACACTTTCAATCTTTTTTTAGTTTTCACTCGTAAAACTGCAACATAAAGTTGATCGTCATGGCAAAACATAAAGATATTGAAAATTGTCTTATTTGAAACTTGAATGGTAATTCAAGATCTGATGGTACCAAATTCATTCTTGATATGTAAACTTTCTCACCGACATTATTTACTGATACAACAAATGAACTGATAACGTTTCTTCGCAACTCTTCAACTATTAACCTTGTAACATTACACAACCCAGATGTTTGATCAATGTTTCTTAATAACATAATTGGTACTCTTTTCTTCAAAACAATTATGTGATTTGGAATTTCCGAACACTTGATATCGTTCAAAAACTCAGTCGTTATCCAATCATCATCTATGCCTACATCTGAATCTACTTGACACGAAGAATCAGAGCTCAAATACTCTGTCTTTTATGCATTTGTAATTGTGCCAAAGTTGTTGCATCATTGTTCTTTGGTGTCAATAAAATACAAATTGACGATTGCACTTGATGCGATCGATGCTAATACAGTTTTTAAAAAAAAATTAAAAATAAGATGCTATGAGAAAGGGTGATATTATTTATTTTATTTGTATGATTTAATATATGACATGCATGATAATTTATTAAATCATAAAGAAATATATAGATACTGTTTGTCACATCCCCCTACAGATTTATTTTTGACGTTGCTTCAGATTTTTATATTGATGACAATCTCTCAACCTCTGCAATATCAGTTACAAAAGCTAAAAACTAAAAAAATTATTTATTCACATAATATTAAGTGATATATATGTTTAAATTGATTGAAGATAAAAAAAGCTAGGGTAAATAAATCATTCTGCACTCTTTTTTGTTGAAGTATATCTTTTCGATGTGTTCTTGCTTTTTTCGCCAAAATCAATTTCTCTTTTCTTTGGCCCTGCGTTACTCTTATCCAAATTTGTACCCAATCAAATTCATTTCAATATGTCGAGTATTTTAATTCAAAAATTATCAAATTTCATGACAAATATTTAAAAAATAAAACAATCGGATAAAATGGTTTAGTTTAAGATAACACATAAAAACAAACTATTTTTTGAGTATTACACCTTGAAAATTGTTTTGTTATACATTTTATTTGCACATACCTTTTATACTACTTGTAGTACATAAATATTCTCTTGCCAACAAAAAATGGATTTTTTTCATTTTTGTAAAAAAAATTCTTATATATCAAACAATAAATACTGTGGGGAATAATAACTTTTTGCGGAAAATATCTTCCTCTAGACTAATTGTCTAGAAACAAATTTTTCCTCAACCAAATGCACCCTTAACTTCTAACTTCTTTTAGTATCTTTCATCTCTTTCTAGTTTTTTCTAATTCAGTTTTTCAAATTTCTTTCAACTTTTCAAACTTCTTTCTACCCTTTAATTTCTAGTTTATTGACTTTATTCTAAATTCTTCTGAATTCAGAGTCACTCAAAGTTACTGGATGACTCATCTGCACTATCATTATCAAGATATGTATGGATCGGGATAAACTTATCAATGTATAGAGATTATAATTCTAATAGTAACTTAATAAATTTAATTATATGTTGTATGTGATGAAATAAATAAAATTACACCACAAATACATTATTGATCACTCACTAATTTCACTATTAGGAATATATATAAAATATTGAAACAACATAAAAAGGGTAAATATTATTCAATTGTTTAAAATGTTAAAATAAAACACATTAACTATTGAATTACATAAAAGAGAAAATGTCTCTAATCAAATAATATACACAATAATATGATTTCCAAAAACCAGTTAAGTATAAACACGCTTAGGAAACTAAAACTATGTAGTCCTATTACAATTTAGAAAATAGAGTTTCACATTTGAAGATCAGCATATAGAGTTGCCAATGCAAGCACACCATCTTTTCTTGTCTTTGATGGTCTCCTTTTGAAATGTAGTCAAGAACACAAACCTATATAACATATCAAGCTCAAAATACAATAATTTTGATCTTTCACACTACTAATAAATGCAAGCTTTGTTAGTCTAACTTCTGTTAGAGCAAAATAAATCAACATGTACACTATGAAATGAGACCATAGTGTTTAACTTTTGAAAGGAAATGACAAATTCCTACATTGTATACTATGTTAAAATATGAACTAAACTACTTTATTATACTTTTCCTCCATCACCATAATTTTTTTGGGAAGAATCGAGTTGATGTCAGTAAGAACTCTACTTCTCGCCATTCTGACTCCTTGCAGTGATTTTGTAACTATCTATCGTTCTTAAGCGTGAGAACTGAAATTTGAAAATAAACATTTAATAAGTAAAAGGGAAATAAAGACAGTGTAAAACCCCTTCACACCTCGTTGTTTCATAATCAATCAGTTATAACTTGGAGACACAATTAAACAAATGTCTTGCCGTCTTGGTCTTGACCCCATTTGTATTATGCACATTTTGGATCCCATTTTAAGAGCACAGTTCAATTTTATAATAATATCAACATAATAATGATAATTTTAAGACAAATTACACCAAAGATTTAATAATTCAGGAAGGGATGAAAAGAAAAATTACAGAATTAGAAAGCAATACAATTTTAGCAAATTTAAAATCAATGCACTCCATCCAATATGAATTTCAAGAAGTAAAATTACCGTTCGTTGATGTGTTGGCATCAAAGAAGGAAATGAATCCGGGAACAAAGAAGGAAAGGATTTTGCTTCATTCTGTGTGACATTTGTCATATCATCCACACTTTGTTCCAGCCAACTATCATCAAATTCTACAAAAGCTTCAATCAAATTCTGCAAGATAAAGAGCAAAAATACTCCAATCATAGTGATCATAGTGATAAAGAACAAAATCTTCAATCAAATTCTTCAATTTTTAAAGTTGCTTCAAAAATACTCAATAGCTTAGTAAAGTTGAGTATCATAGTTACAGTCAACCTTTACACATGATGATGCATTGTCAATAAAAAACTATGCATTGGCAATTTTTCCCCAATCGAATGAGTCTATTTCAACACATGTTTAATTCGTGTAGTAGACCAGAAAACAAAACAAATCCAAGCCTATTATTTAGTAAGTGCTTTGAATATTAACACATATCATGTCTAGTCAACCGCATACTACCATGTCGGTGCTCATCTATGTCATAGGGAAGAAACTTACAAAGTATTCTTGGTGTACCACCTTGTAGAATGCTTTGGAAAATATTGACAGCATGGTTGAGTTCTCAAAGTTGTGATTCACACTGTTATATTATAGAACTATTTTATTTAACGGTAGGATTGACAGTAAGGTCTATCATATCTATAATTTTCAGAATCACATATTTAACATACCACATAACAGGACATCGACCAATAGTCACACACCTATTAAAAACACTATTGCTTTGTGTTTATAAAGCCTTGCAAGTGGTAGAGTTCTTACCAACGTTAACCCGGTTTTTTCTAATGACTTGATAAAGTACTTTAATTGTTACTCTTTCTTATTGTTTGAAGCTCAGATAACAAAAAGGTAAACAAAGATCAAAATGAATAAAAATAAGGAAAAAAAATGAATACCTCATTTTGGGGTTTAATAGTGCTCTTCGTCAACATGGCAGAGACCCCTCTATAATAGCATCCGTGACCATATCGGTTACCTTGAATCTTATCAAAATTTCTGAAACTATACCCTTCAATCACATCCCTGCCACAACAATTCATAAAATCCAAACATCATATCAAAAATGAAAAACAAAAGAAATCACAATAAAAATAAATAACAATTCATAAAAAAATTTAAAACCAAACCCTAAAATCAAGTGTTAGTGAAAAGAAAATAGAGATGAAGAAGCAACAGGAGGGATATACTATCTTTAAAACATCAAAATAAGGAGAATATTTTTTAAGCTCTTGAATTAAATCACTTATTTATATATAAATATATACTACAAAAATAAAATATGTTAAAAATATGTTTTAAAATAAATCTATTGATATTAAGTGTATATGAAAATTCAATATATTTTTTTCCATAATATACAATCAAAGTTTAAAAAAGAATGCACAACTCATGTTACTATACAAACATATCTCAATATTAAAAAATAATGCTCTGTAAGTAATCATCTAGAAGAAAAAACATCACATTGTTTTTTAGTCTGAAAAAACCTTTGACAGTGTAGAAGAGAAATGCATGGCGTGCATTATATTGTAACCTCACATTAGCAATAAGCAAGAGAATAATTCATAAGCTGATTTGGTTGTAGCCAGACCATTTGAATGACTATGTTCAATCTTATTTTAAAAATCCAAATCTATCAACTCTAGGCAATATTTTTGAATTCAGCTTCAAATAACTTCATACCCATTCCTTATCAGATGAATATACAAAATTCATTGACTAACACTGAGAAACACATAAAAAGCATGTTAAAGCAAAAAAGATAAACAGATCCAACAATTAAAAACTGAAATTCAATTTAGAAAACCATCAAAGAACTAAAGAAGTAAATAACTTTAATAACCCTCTCACAATTGAACAGAATTAGACATCTCAATAGGATGCCAAGAATGCTGACAGTTAACTCACTTATAGAGATGTCTAATTGTTCAAAGTTTTGATAAAATGGGAGCACGGGTCATAAAAACCAAACCCACGAAAATTTGCTGATGAGTGGTCACCATATTCTTGCTGTTTACATGGGCAACATTGTAGATCATACTTATACTGGTGTTTATCATGTGAAAATCAAGATTCATTTTTACCCAGAGGAAGAAAAAAAGCTCCCATTCGTATTCTGGGCTTGATTCTATACGACTATACCTGATTTGATCCTTCCTGTTTTGAGAGATTTGCCTCTGAACAGCGGGTTGTGGTTTGAGATTGAGAATTCTACAGACACGGAGTCGAAGCAGTTGGAGATCCCTCAAAATGCTTATAGGGCTATTTTGGATGTTTATAAACAAAAGCAAAATTCAAAATTCATCCGTTGAAGCCTACAAAAATAAAATCCACAAATTCATCCACTTAATTCACAATTTCGACACCAAATTGCATATTAGCCTAATTTTTTTAACAATAAAATGAGAAGGAAAAATTGAAGGCATGAAACCTGGGCATCAAACTTGATGATATGGCCAATTCACAGCATTTGCAGTGCTAAGAGATTTTAGTATCCATCATCAATAGGAAAACAGATCTGAATCAATCAATTTAACGGTGAGGATCGATAATGTTAGAATGTCATTAATCCATTTGTCCAAATAAAACATTTGTCCATTTGTCATTAATCCATTTGTCCAAATATTTTCTATAGTTAGAATGTCATTAATCCATTTGTCCAAATAAAACACCTAAATATAATATGAAATTGTCTTTGTCCTCACAAATAATGATTTTCAAATTAAGCATAAAATCTAGGTAAAAATCTTAATCTTCCATTCACATTCCAAAACGCGAATTACAAACGATCCAACCAATCTTAAATGTTATGCTATTTTCAGGTAATGTTCAGTCCATGTTCGTTAAATATAATGAATCTAGGGAAAATTCATAGATTTTTTCAAAACAAATGTTCACTCACATTATGTGCATTCCACCATCAGAGTAATGATCTCACATTTCGAATTAAAATACAAATACATACACTAACACTGTGTTTGGTTCAAGGAATTTGAAAGGAAAAAGATAAGAAAATGAAGTGGAAAACAGTATTTTTTGTTTGGTTAGAAAGGAAACGAAAGAAAAAGGAGAGAAAACAAAATGAGAAGGCAAAATGTACTAAGAGGAGAGAAAACCAAATTCCTCCCATTTTGGTGAGGAAAATGAGAGAAAATCACTTCCTTTTCTTTTCCTTCCAAATTCCTTGAACCAAACATAGCGTAAGAGTGCAAAATTTGCTTGTAGGAGTAGGAATTCTCACAACCGATGTGCACGAATGAAAAATCGAGTTACAAAAATCGAATAAATTACAGAAATAAGGATTATTGGAGTAATACCTGATTAGGATTCGAGATTTCACAAACGTTGTTCCCTGGAGAATCACTGTTGTACGGGTCAAAAGATGGGAGATGGAGGTTCTCCGTCGTCCGTTCCTCAATTCCTTAGAGATTTTTCTTGCCGATGGTTTTGCGCGCTGGTGTTTGCCAATGAAATCGCAGAGGGGAATAGCTGGTTCTCCAGATTTTGCTCCAGAGTAATACCCAAAAATTTTAAGGGAAAAAAATACCTAATTTGAAGTCTTTCCTTGTTCAAAATGGAGATGGAAAAATACCTAATGTTTGATCCGCGAGACGAAGATGGAAAACGCACGGGAGAAAAGGAAAGGCGAAGATGGAAAGACGACGAAGATGGAAAATTGCTGATTTCTCCCGACGAAGATGGAAAGGCCAGAAAAGGAAGCTTCCGCTGGAAATTGGGTCGACGCAGAGAATGACGCCTAGGTAATTCTTTTCTTTCTTCCGCTTGGAAAACGCACGGAGAATGACGCGTGGAGGTGGAGGCTGATTTGTCAGTAAACTAAACTATCATTAAAGTACAGGTGTCATCATCTAACTTAATCAACTCTCAAATATTATATTAAAGGATTCTCATGGAAGTTGCATTAATATTTTATGCATCCCAAAAACCCTAATGACAAAGAAACTCACACTCAGAGTAACAAAGGTCTCTTTGGAAATGACATTAGAGATTAGTGTTAACATTTCGAATAAAATTAACAGTGCAGATTACTTTGAAAATGCTGACGCTAAACGGTGCCCGTAAATAACACTTTCAAAACGCTAACGATAATATGTAATGTTATTCCCAAAAAGGCCCAAAATATTAATTTTGATAATTACTAGGATTTGCAAAGATATTTTAAACATTATTATATGATTAGATATACACCATGAATAGATTTTCCATTTTGGACAAAAAATAATGTGGATGAATTTGGATACCTACTTATTAATTTTGTGTAAAAACGTGTGGGTTAATAAGGAAACTCAGTAATAAAATACGGAATAATTACCTTAAGGGTCCGTTTGGTACAAGGAATCGGTGGAATTGGAATTGAATTGGAATTGAAATTCCATGGGATTCAATTCTATAGAATTGAATTCTGTCAATTTCAATTCATTTTTTGCACTATCAATTCCAAATCCACATAATTTTTGTGCTACCAAACATCAGAATTGGAATTGAAGTCCCCAATTCTAATTGCATAGTTTGAATTGCATGTACTAAACGAGACCTAATACTAACGTCCATATTAGAGTAGGTATTTGCAAAAATAAACAAGATATGATATGATCTACACCATGAATAGAATAATACGGAGTATTTTTTTAGATGAGGTGTCAAATGTATCACACACAAACATAATGCAAAAAATCAGGTATATTTTTTTTAAAATAAAATTACCTCTTAGAAATTTTAGTAAAGAAGAATGTAAACCAGATGTAAATCATTACCTAAACATATATAGTAAAAAAATTAACACATCCCAAATTTCAAACAACAATATTGGCCGTGGAAGAAAATATTGTCTTTTTTAAAATATTGTTCAAACAATATGTGAAATCTTTGTCTTTTTTAAAATATTTTTATCTATAAATTTGTATAAAAATAAAAATACAAAATAATTATTTAAAAACTATATAAAAAGTTCTACAAAACAATATGTGACAAGTGTTGCAATTCTCGGCATTTTTTTAAAATGCATTAAATGGACCAACTTGGACATCTTTATCAATAGGTCCACTAACCGTTTTAATCATTCATTAATGGGTGTATGTTCTCTTAAATGACATAAATATTTTGATAATTTATGCGCAAAAAAGGGTAGAGAATGAATTTGAAATTGATTCTCAAAATTAACCCGTTAATAGAAAAATATGATAGATATTACAGTTTAGCAATTTTATTGAACCATCTTCTATTATTATTTTTAAGTGATATTTAAAATTAGTCAATTTTTAGTGGATTTATTTTAGACATAAACGTGTGTGTTAATAGTGAGACATTAATATACCACTAATAATTAAAAGAAGAAAAAAATGCCAAATTCAAAAATAAAACGTTAAAAAATTCACAAACTTATTATTTTTGAATTTCAATAAAAAAAATTAAATAGTCTAAAATAATTTTATTTTGCCTATTACGATACATTGGAGATTCTTCCCTCTTAAAAAGAGGATTCCATACATGTGAAGAGAAAAAAAGAAAATAAAAAACTTTTCTTCCTTAAAAATCTATTTTAATGTCACATATTAATTTTATCATTTTAATGCAACATGTTAAATACTCTGTATATCATTATATAACTCGAGGGAAAATATTACTCCCTCCGTCCATAAATAAACTTGGGTGAAAGACTAAAGTAGAACTAAAACACATTGAAAATCTATCAAAATAGAACTTCCGTGTTTTTATTCCCAAAATAGGACTTACATTACCAAACATTGTCATATACATTATCAAAAAAGTATAGTAATATGCACATGTACACTGTCACATTACTACATTGCAAAGTCACATTACCACAGTGCAAAGTTCTATTTCGGGAAAAAAACATGAAAATCTTATTTTGATACTTTTCTCTATGTTTTAGTCCTATTTAGAGGTGACATGACTATACTATTTTATCAAATGGGTGACAAAAATATGTTAACAAAGTGAATAAAGTTTGACCGTGTTAATAATTAACGAGAAATTTATTTATAGACGGAGGGAGTACAATAATCTAACCCGATCAAGATGAAGTCCGAATTTAATTTTAACGAACCTAGTTTGAATATCAAAATTACAACAAAAATATTAGTCAACCATTACTACTAAATTAAAATTTTCTACTCTTTTTTCATTGAAACATTAGACCAAACCCAATTTTATTTTTATTACTACTACTACAACTAGTAACAATTTCTTCTCATTCTCACACTCTTCCCTTTTCACTCTTTCTTCATTATTTCTATCCCTAAACTTTAAAAAAAACAGGGCATTAATGTTTGCAAGGAGGAAGTGGGGATCCACACAAGCCAGGATTCCCTAAAAATGCTTCCTTGGGTATATTTGATTTGTGGGCAGGGATTTCCCCACTCAATATGTTCCTAGAAACGTCAAACTCTTTTAGATATTCAAGATTCATCACATCCTCTGGTATTGTACCGCTGAACTCGTTGCCTGAAAGCACTATCGTCTCCAGCTCTGTAGCATTCCCAAGAGATTTCGGAATTCTCCCTTCGAACTGATTGTTTGATAGATTCAGGGATTCTATCTTGTCCAGAACAGTTCCGTCTTCTAATTCCCCAGAGAATCGGTTGTTTGAGAGATCTATGAACGTGTAGTGTCCCACTTCGAAGAATCCCGACTGGCTTGCTTTCTTGAATATGATGGTGTTCACATCCCCAGAGAGGTTGTTTGAGTGGAGGTCAAGAACCGACAGAGATGAACAGTTCCTGAATTCGTCTGGGATTTGTGAGTGAAACCCATTGTTGGACAGGTTCAGGGAGGAAAGAGCGGTCATGTTTCCCATCCAAGATGGGATTTTTCCCTGGATCTGATTTCTTGATAGATCAAGAATTGAAAAGGATGAAGAAGCCAGGGAGCTGGGAACCTCTCTGAGACCCATTCCTGCTAAAGAAAGATTTGTAACTCTCAGGGCCGGAATGACCCGGAGATCCAGAGATGGGTTGAATGAGAGATCCAAAGAGGATAATCCCTGCTGGTTTCCCAGCTGGGGAGGGATCTTTCCGCTCAGTTGGTTTCTTGACAGATCCAATACGCCGAGGTTGCGAAGATCTCCCAAAGCCTCTGGGATTTCTCCGGTGAAGCCGTTGTTGTGGAGTTGCAGAGTCATGAGGTTGGAGAGGCGGCCAATGGATTCCGGGAGATTCCCTGTGAAATTGTTGTTCCCAAGAAAGACCCATTTCACATTCTTGAGGTCTCCAATGGCGGGTGGGATCGTCCCCGTCAGGGCATTATAGGATAAATCGAGGACTTCCAGTGAGCTCAGGCCTGATATTGACTCTGCAGCAATGGGTCCAGTCAATCTGTTTCCATTGAGCAGTAATCTCACTAGAGCCGAAAGACTGCCCACACCACTTGGGATTCTTCCACTGAGTTGGTTGATCGACGAGTCCAGATACCGGAGCTTCTTGAGATTCCCAATGGTGCCCGGGATGCTCCCCGCGAGCTGGTTCTTGAACAAGTAGAGATCTTGGAGATGCTTGAAATTCCCAATGCTGCCCGGGATCCGACCCGTGAGTTGGTTTTCGGACAAGTCGAGAAACTGGAGGTTCTTGAGATTCCCAATGGCGTCCGAGATCTCACCTGAGAAACCGTTCCCATTGAGATAGAGAGTGGTGAGGGAGACCAATCTCCCAATGGAATCCGGGATGGGACCCCACAGGTTCTGGAGCCCGGCGAGGTTAAGAACTTGGAGGGAGGACATGTTCCCAATGGAAGGGGGGAGGGACCCGGAAACGTACACGTTGAGGATCCCCTCGTAGTCGGATATCGACAGTGCCACGACACGGCCTGTCTGGTTGTCGCAAGACACTCCCTCCCACGCGACGCAGCAGTCCGCGGAGGGAGTCCATGTGAGGAGCAGAGGGTAAGTAGGATCATCTGTGACTGTTTTTTTGAAATCCAGAAGGGCCTCTTCATCCCATGGATGGCATGCTTCTAATGGTTTGATTGTATTGAAATAAAGGAAGGTGGTGATGAAGAACACTAAGTTCTGGCACAGATTTGCCATTTTTTTGTGTGTGTGGAGAAATTTGGATCTCTAAAATTAATTAATTTTGGCAAAAAAAAAAAAACTTGTGTGTTAATATTCTCATGGAAGTGGAATTATGTTGGGAGTATATACACACCAAAAACAACTAAACAAGGAAACTTAATCAAACTGAGTAACAAAATATTACCTTAATACAAATACGAAGGTAGCCTAAAATGAAGATTTTACAAAATAAACCTCATATATACACCATATATATAGAATATATATACTCCGTATGTTTTTGGTAGATAAAAACGTGATTTATACACCATATATATTTTGATTTAATTATTTTTTTTATGTTTTTTATCGTAATTTAATTTAGTCATTCTTAATAAATATTTTAGGATAATGCCAATGACATAATCTTTGGGTTTATATGGAAATTTCGTTAGAAATTGGCATTAGCGTTTTGAAAAGTCTATTTACGGATAGTATTTAGCGTTAGCATTTTCAAACTAATCTACACCATTAAAATTTTATCTAAAACATTAACGATATTCCCAAACATACCCTAAATCTCGTGTCAATTAGTGTATTTTCTTTATTAACGTTTTATTCTCCAACAATATTGTCAACAACTTTCTTTTTACATTACAAAAAGTATTGCTACATTTTGTTTTATGGATTTTAATTTTTACGCATTTTTGAGCCTGTAAAAATTACTTTAAACTTTAAACCAGTACTTCAATAAGTTACCTTTAAAAATATATATATTTCAATAAGTTAAATTTAGAATAAAATAGATTAAAAATTGTACACAGTAAATCATAAACTGAAAGTTAGTAATTACAACCTATGTATACAAACAATTGTATATTTCATTCACAATCATTTTAGGGTGTGTTTTTTCCTCTCTAAAAAAATTTTGTTTTTTTATTTAGGATTGTAATGCTTTATGTTGTTCCCATAAACATTTTAGGGTAATCTTTTTTCCTCTCTGCAAAATTTAATAATTCAAACAAAACGATATCGGAGTATATTATAGGGATGAGACCGAAATGTTTGATAAAAAATGAGTGTTAAGTCTATGTCTCAAGATCGATTTCTGCTAGTAACACTGTAAGAAATTTAACTAATGTGATGGTTCATTATGTGTGCCGGGTGCAAAATAATCTCTCAAAAAATTAGATTAAGATTATATTATGAATAATTTTCTCACTACTTTGCTGGGATGAGGTGTTGAGGTATGCGGAGTGAGCGTTCTACTTTTTTAGAAAGAATCATGTTCTTCTTTGTTTGGCACATTACATTCACAAGCTTATCTCAAGCGTGATTTAAGGGAATAATCAATGCAAGGAGTCTTGAGACTCTCTCCTACTCTGCTACATCAATATTTTATCATTTTAGACTATTCTCTAAACTTTCAAAAAAAAAACTATCACAATCTTTAGACAATCTAAGAATTTGCCTAACTAGTATTCCATAATCTTTAATTTTAATAATTGCATTTATATTAGATTAGTTATATAATATATAATTGTATCACATATTGATTTTTCTATCAACTTTATTTGTGAATAAAATTAACCGTTAAAAAATTTCTACAACACAAAATTTTACAAACATACTTAGTAAAGTTAGAGATAATTATATAAAGTTAACTTAAAACCACGTAGAGTATTTGTATACATTTCATTAAAATGACATAAGTAAAAGCCATGGGAGGCCCGGGGGTGTGCAAAGTGGCCAACCGCACAGGGCACCTTAAAATTTAGGGTACCATATTTTTAAATTTGTTGATAATTTTAAAGCAAAAGTATTCTAAAAATATAAAATCGGGCACAAAACATAAAGTTTGGACCGGACCAATTTTATTTTTTCATTTTTCGGGGCCGGCCCTGGTAAAAGCACATAACCTCTGAAGTGTCTAGAATAAAAACAAAATCACAACAAATAGTATTGATGTTTTATGTTTTTGTTTTTTACTACGTACCATATTTGCATTTTTAAATATTTTAACTTTTTTAAAATCTTTAGTCCTTGTACTGTGTATTTTTGTTCAACCAGGTTCTTCTATTCACTTGTCTCTTATATATTGTCCCAAAATTTTAATAATGATGTCAAATTTTACTATATATGATATGTAACTATTGTATTGACAATTTTATTCATACTTATATATTTTTTAAATAACATTTTAACTAAGACCAGTATACATTTATTTATTTATTTTCTTTTATGAAACAAAATTTAGGGGTAAAATAATTTATTATGTAGTCACTCAAATCAGACTAAAAGTATTATTTCCATTTCTTCTATACCAAAATTTGATGTCATCATTAAACATTTGAAGCAATATATAAGAGACTAGTAAAGAGAAATATCTAACTAAACAAAAATAAATAATTCCATTACAAAAACTAAATTGATTCAATTCGAATACAAAGAATAATAAATATTTTAAATAATAGTTACTTCTACCGTACTTAGGACTACTTAATTACTACAGCCGTACGGGTAGCCCAAGTGGCAAACACTTGGTGAAGTTTGGAGAATGACCAAGGATCGAAACCTAACAGCGACCGTTGTGGAGGCGACCACCTCTAAAAAATGGGGGGAGTCTCTGGTGCGCACTAGGATATGGTCTAGCTAAGTGTTATGCTTGGGTCACTGTGATTTATCTCCTCTCACATTCCCGTCGGGTCGGGGGTGAAGGGTGCCTAGAGTGAGCGATTTCATCTTTTTGGAGAAGGACTACTTAATTACTTGAGCAATGCTAGGGGTACACCTTTGGTGTACCCCAAATGTACACCACCCTCTTTTCTACCACACATTTTTATTTAATTTTTATTTACTTATTTTTTTTTAAATTTCTTTACCTTTTTTAGTGGACAAGGAGAGGATGGGGGACATATGGGATACAAATTTGGTCTACCCCTGGCATTTTTCTAATTACTTTGTTGTAGTCTTGTAAAAAGAGTTTCTCTTTCACATGACATAAAAAATTTAGGATTGAAATCAGAAGAACCGAAAGCGGCCCTCCCCGCCACGCCAAGAAAATCAATCATAATTCTACCCGGTAGCAGATGAGAGAGTGATGATGATGGGTGAAGAGGATGAATTGAACCAGCGCGGCGGAACTGAGACTGCCCCTCCGATAAATCGCCGCACCAGCGGCGGCGACGATGGAAACGGACCCGTAAACCTAGCCAAAGACGGTGGAGTTGAGGGATCAGCTTCTTCCTCTGCCACGTCATCGCCGTCTTCCAAGAAGAAAGCGAAATCCTGCAAAGGATGTCTGTACTATTCTTCGACAATCAAGTCCAAAGCTAAAAATCCCCTCTGCGTCGGCATTCCTCGTTCTTTACCCCAAGGTAATGTTTTTTTTTATCCATTTATTCTTATTTTGGTTCACCTTTGATTTCAAGTTAGTGTTTTTTTATCACTGTATGTCAATCTTACCATTTCAAGCTGTTCAGATGATTTCTATTTTCTACTAGTTCTTACCATTTTCAGCAAAGGGAAAAAAACGGATCTTAGAAGGGAAGAGCAAGTGAATTCCATTTGATTTTCACTTTCTATTTAATTTTTGATGCCTAAAACTATTTCTACCGTCTGGGCATTTGAGATCTCATCAACTCCATTTGTTCCTATGATGGAGTTTTACTAAAGATTCAATCTTGTCGCCATTTGATTGGAAAAGAATTGGTTTTTGTAAATGTGTGATTTCCTTAGCATGCTTCCTAAAGTGTAGCTTGTGCATGTGTACTTTCTGTGTCGGAATGTGTGCCTTTTGTGTCTGTGCTCTTATTGTGTTACCCGTAGAACTTTGTTTTTGCTTCTGTGTCTAAGACGAGGGTCTCTTCGAAAGAGCCTCTCTGCTCCCGAGTAAGGGTACGGTTTGCATACGCACACCTTCCTAGATCCTACTTTACTGTGAGATTTTATTGGGTTTGCTGTTGTAATTGTATGGATTGATTTTTGTATTTGAATGAATGTTTAATGCCAAACTGATTTGTTGATTCCCGATGCCACACTGTGAAAAGCTCTTTTTTTTCTTTCATATTGCTGAAATTGAGTAGTGCAAATCATCGATTTTCAGTTAGAGTAGAGCAACCACACTAAAGTTAGTGCATCGTATGAATTTCATCCACATATAAAACTTCATATTACAAAAAGAGTTGAGATTTGCCTTGCACAAGTCGGACACATGAATTGGGACGGATGGAGTATTTATTTGTACTTCTGTGTATGAGCCGGGGATCACTTTGAAACACACCCTATACTCCCGAGTAGGGGTAAAGTCTTCATACACATCCTCTCCCTAGACTCTACTTTATTTTTTGGGATTTTACTGAGTTTGTTGTTGTTGGAGTATTTATCCGCCTGTTATCTGTTTGTTAGTATTTTCGATTTACTCTTTGCTTATTCATTTCCTACATTTTAAGAGCAGTGCCTCAATTTATAGTTGGGGAATCAGCTGCCGAAGCTTATAAAGAGGGTAGAAGTCTTACGGATTTCAAGTATGCTTGTGTTGGTTATTCTGTTTATGCTGATAGAAAGTCCTGTCCGATCAACGGGCAACAAGCACAAACTGAACTGCCAGCTTGTGTCGGGCTTGAGGTTAGCATTTTTTTAAAAAAAAATTGCTATCAGCTTTGAATCTTCTTTTTCATGAAGTTTTTACTTGCTAATATTACATAAGTTTTTACACAGATTCTACTTGATAAAAGGCATGTCCCAACCAATCATGCTCCTGCCAATTCCCATAATCCGGAAGGTAAATCTTATGTTATCCAATGCGTAGAGGCGATAGCGTACCTATAAATGTTTTGCATAAGGGATTGAGGGTACACGTACTTTAAATCCTCAAGGAAAAAATCATGCAAATACTCATAGAAATGTGACGTGTTACAAGAATATACAAAGATTGCATAAATTTTAGTAGCTCTAGCAGAAATTCAATATTTTTAACAGAATACTGCATATTGATCACATATACACTTCAAAAAAATATCTTGGGATATTATTCCAAAAATATTGAATTTCTTGGAGCGCTAATGATAATAATGTAATCTTGAAGTATTCTCGTAAAATGTTTAGTCGTCCATCCATCCCTTGAAAAACCCCCTCTACGAAAACTTTTTTTATCCCCTAAAGAAGTACTCCGTAATTTTTAACCAAAGAA